GACGTAGACATGTGGGGGCGTGTTTGAACGAGGCGTTTTAGGAGGACGTGGACGAGTCTTAACTTTTATAAAGAATATCTCTTTGGGTTTGAGACTTTAGTCTTTGCAACTTTAGGGATCTTATCTATTCACGAACAGCTTGTAACACTCCAAGAGAAAGGAAAACTTGAAATCGCATCATATGACCCCTTTAAAAAATTTGGCCACGATTTACCTAAAATGAGGTGACAAATTGAAAAACTGAAATAAAAATGTATACAAATTTGTACACATTGTAGACATTAAAAACAATAAAATAGTCATAGTAAAATAGTTTTTGTTTTTTACTTTTTTTTTCTTTCTTGACAATTGTAATACTCTGACATTTTGGACTTTTGAAAAAAATATATATTAAAATGAATTTTATTTTAAGATGAATTGTATTTTGAAAAGGTTCAGATTTTAAAAATGGGTGCAAACACAGTGCGGTTAGGTCTTGGCACTTGCAACTTTTTGCAGAATTCCATTCATGTCAGAAACAGGTGAAGGTTAGTAAACACTTCTGCTCTGCAGGATGATAAAAGTAAAGGTACATAACTCCACTCCATCTCTTGCAATAATTCATAATGCAACATATTTTCCCATTGCTGCTCAAAATACAATCTTCACTGAAAGTGAACACAGAACCTTCCAGCCTGGAAATCAAACCGAACAAATAAACAGTGTTTGAAGTCCACATTGGATATTCCATTACTGGATTTCCATAAGTTATCTTAGATATGATTTTCATTGGCGCTGGTTTAAGAGCACACTTATTTTAATGTACTTTGTGCTAATCTGAGTTTATTTGTAACCCTGCTCAACTGTTGCTTAAGAGTAACCCTGCAGCAAAATTAGCCGTCTGAGAGCTTAGTCGAAGACAGCAGCGTCTCCATGCTTTCTGAATACAAACTCCACTGCAATGGCTGAAAAAAACTTGAAACAACAAAGTGTTTAGAAAATGTGGGCTTTCAAAGACTTCGTCTGCAGCTGTGTCAATAATAATTACTCCATCTGAACCGTTCTCATTGTAAAACGAGTCTCACACAGACAAACATACATAATGAGTTCATCTACCTACACTTGTAATCTTTTTTTACTGTGTCTTACTTGGAAGGAAAATCCCTAATATAATAAAACTTATCTGATAGAAAAATAATAATAGGGTGAATCTCACAAAAATATGTCTGGGTCACATTTCAGCCCAAAATCAGAAGAAAATAAATAATACTCTTTATTTTCTATCAAGAAAACATCTTAGGAACACTAATATTTTTGCATTGTGACATTAGCTTTTAGGAACACTAATATTTTACTAATATTTTTGCATTGTGACATTAGTTTTATGCACAGTTTACACACAATTCTCATTACTATAATGTGCCTGGATGGTTTACTTTTTAGGTTATTTATTGATTGATTGTAATATTTTCAATAATAATTGATTTGAAGAAAACTTATTTTAGGAACACTAATATTTTTGCATTGTGACAGTTTTATGCACAGTTTACACACAGTTCTCATTATTGTAATGCACCCGGATAGTTTATGTAGTTGTTTTTATTTATTTATTATTCACTATATTCTGAATGATAATTAATTTTTAAAGGGTTAGTTCACCCAAAAATGAAAATTCTGTCATTAATTACTCACCCTCATGTCGTTTCCAAGCGGCAACCTCCGCTTTCTCTCGAGTGACTTAAACTGTAATTCGTCAACTGGCCGCAAAAGGGAGTCAATCCCATAGACTCCCCATGTTAAAATGCCCAATTTTACAGCAGAAAAAAACATGTTTACAGCATGGTTCAAAAAATGATTTTGGTCTATATAGC